TGAGATTATTGCATCGCTTTAAAAAGCTGTGCTTTATTTGGTCCGAACGTGGCTGGTTTCCAGTTTAAGCTCTTGGTTCTTATATCTTTCTCTGCTGGGTCAAACAGCACATCAAGTTGCCCCGCAAACTCTTTTTTCTACACCTCTTGCATAACATTTGTGGGTATCTATCTTCTGCATCCTCTCCAGTTTTTCAAACATTTAAAAAAAATATACATAGCTATGTAAAGCATAAAGCTAGAAAATCTATGAGCTATTATCATTAGGTAACAGAATGAAAGATATCAGTGAGATACCAAAATGTACTATAATGTAGCGAATTCTGTATGAAAAAGTAATGAAGGAAGTTGAAAGCCTTAGATTTTGCAATATGGGGCTGGATTATACCTTGCAGACACTGCCTGCAGTTGCAGTAGCTCCATCCCAAGGGCACTGCACTTTATGGAAAACCTTTAAACATTCCTGGGAAGCACAACCACCGTGCCATTTCCTACGCGGGGAGGAAAAGTTTACCCCAACGGATGATATACAATGCAGTTTGCAAAGAGCTGCTGCTGCCAAGAGCTTAAATTTTAGAACCTACTTTAGATTACAAATGGCATTTTTGAAGGTTGAGCTCTAAATTAACTAGTAATAGAAGATGAAATAAAATATAGCCAGAGAATGCCCTTGTGACTACCCAAACTATGAAACACTTTATTCTATAAATACTGACAATTTTTCCCTGTCACTTCAAAATGCAAACTTAATCAAAGAGGCTTTGAAGATTGTTCTCCAACTTTGGATGTCTGTCTGACTATCTGCAGGTATGAACTTTCGGAGTTTCACTGACTAATCAAATAACTGACATTTATCTTCAACTCCACTCCTTTGGAAAAGAAATAATAAGCAGTTAATGCCATTTCTGCTAGTTTTTCCCATCGGTTTCCTCTTTACAAACAGTTTTCTGAACTATACAAATAGAATTCATTTTAAGAGACTTTTTTATTTACTTCTAAATCCACTTAAAAAAAGGCCAAATTGCAGTATGCTGTCAGTCTTCAGGATTCAGCATTTTAAATAACCCTTGAAGGTCACTGACGATATGCTGGTATTAGCGTATTTCCCCAATAACAGCCAGTGCTGTCTGTGCCACAGAGCAGGCTCCGCGGGCTGACTGGCCCTGCTACCGAATGCACACGAGCTTCAGATATTTCTTTTACCGTAGAAGCCGTAGTTCAGCCAATAAAGTCGGGTTCTGCTGGGCTTTCTCAGGGGTGGGTTGAGAGGCTTGTTCATGTTCCAGCCTGAGACGCTGAATTTCTTGGAGTATCTCTCTATAGAAATGACAGAGGGAAGATTAAAGAGGAAAAAGGTCAGCCTCTGCCCTGCTCTTAAATACTGTTATAGCCCTTCAAGCACTCTTTCTGTCAGTCCCCAGCCTAAGTACAGCAATTTTGTTCACGTTATGACTGGCACAGACTCAAACCCAAGACAGGTAAGTTAGTGCAGTCCTACAAATTGCTGTAATATACATAGAAAATTTATTACTTAATAAGAAGTATGAAATCACTTATGTGCCATATGCTGGCAATGTCTCTCCAAAACCATTCATGCGGAATGGGCTAAAAGACTGTTCTAAGAGAAAAAAAGTTCCATTTTCAGCAGAATCTGCATTGCACATGCTGTAGGAAGGGCTCTGAAGCGGCACTGCCAGCATCCGCGGCCGTGCTGGCGCCGGTTAGCTTCCCACTCACCTTTCCAAGGGCTCCTGGCAA